AATTAGTATAATTAATTAGAAACTAGATAACCGCTTAACAGGTGACTTGATTAATTAAACTATTATATAAAATAACTAGTTAGATTCTCTAAAATTTAAAGTAGTGGATATAGTATAATACATAGTGTACTAAAAACAGCTCAATAACTAAAGAGTACTAAGGTCTTGGCAGTGGGGCCGACAAACAATTGAGATATGTTTGTAGGTCAGACCGATTTCGAGAATCACTGTATGACGTGTATAAGAGGAGTTAAATATGTCGCGAACTGAGTCCTGCCTGGAGGAGAGGCGTATATCTGTGGTAGTTGGAAGGTTTATCTGAGGTTGTACATCATATACACCCACAATTCAATTGGTAGTTATCGGGGGAAAGTTGGTGTTATCGCATTCGCTCGAGATAGGAGGTAGGAGTGCTTTAGGTAGCGGCCTGTCTATCTGATGTCGGGTTGGTATGGCTTTCTCCTGGACTTTGGATTGGATGAACGTTTCTTCCTCCCAAGTTTTATATGGTATGCTTTTCCTGCGCCCTAAAGGAACGATGTCACAAGCTATTCAAGTGAAGCACTGAGTTCTCTGGAACATAGGCTCCATACCGGCCGAGTGCTCTGAGGCAATACCCGCTATTTCTAGAAGCGAGGAGATGGAAGGGGAACTCCTGTGTGGGCCCTCCAGAGTGGAGCTAGCAGAGTGAGGCGTGTGAAATGCCCTTGACTTTATAATATCGAGCGGGTTTGGCCCAAGATTAAGGAGCTTTGAAAGCTCCATGAAGTAAGCTTCTAGATAGAAGACTGGTACGATCCACCACATAGGAGAAATATAGAAAATAATTAAATAAGGTAGAGATAAATACATTACACAGCTACTCTTCAGCCATATAAACCTCTCCAGGGACCAATTTTGGGTTGAATATAACAGGGCCCATTAGGATGCCAACTTGACAAATTTTTGCATATAACGAAGCTAGGCTTTGATAGCCATAAAATTGGTGTTAAACTTCGGCTATTCTAACAATCTTCTCGGTTGTTTGGCCGCTTAGTTAGATACTACTGGAATCTTGGGGATATGTTTGGTTGGAGAACAGATGGCAAGTATGTTTGTTGTCCATTCTCAATTATCTCCCCGAGCATTCAGTGTGGTGGCAATAGTACTGTTGGATTATCTCTACGTTTTCTCGCTTGACAATTGTCATCCCTATTGTCGCTATCCTAATAGGACAATAACTGAAGAGTTTCATTTGGATTCGAGCCACGGACTGTATTAAAATCCGATGGGTTCTTGGTTAGTGCACCAATGGACAAACATCAGCATAAGGCTATATATCAGATATTTAGGTCGGCGTTGTAGTTACCGATAGGTTTATGCAGGTATAGGCAACATGGACCAACTCAACTTTGGCATTCTCGCGTACGAGGCAAGCTACCAGCCTCATATTAGCTGCTGATACTATGCATGCAGGTATCGGTCAGAATTGCATCGAGGATGAGTCGGCTCTCTCACCTCCCCTAGGTTAGAAGGTTTCCCGTGACCAGAAAATGGCACACGCGGGCTCCCATATGAAGATCTCCCATGGAATGTTCAGGACGACAACCTCGGCTAGTCATGATGAAACGCTGCTATTACGCGATGCGAGCACTTCCAACTCCTTACTAAGTATCGTGCAGTATCAAGGTCACCTTTTAAGGCCCACAGGTGACATAGCCATGGCGAGCAAGAGTTCCATGAGAGTGGGTCATATAAACACTAGAAGGGGTCAAGAAACAATCCAGAAATTGAGGAAGTTACGTAGCTGGCCAAAAAATTACATCCGAAGGGGAGTAATCTACAAGACTTGAGTTCTGGTTGGTGGTTCTGAATGATCACTCATCAATTCACTCATAGTCTTCAGGTTGTGACACGAATATCGAGGGAATTAATAATAATGAGACCGAACGTCACTACTTTGCCAGATTGGAGGGGCGATTGACTAGTCTGGATTGAGCTGACCTGTTGAATGCCTGAGCAAGACAGAACAACCGCTGGAGCACCAGAATAACGTAATTCAAATGACAAAGCACTTGAGGGCTTGGACCTTCCCCCGGCCCCCAAAGATGATGTTCCAACTTCTTCAGCAGGAAAGATATCCCCGTAACCTAAGCTGAGCTTCTGAGCTATTGGGCTACATGGTCTCACCCACGCCCTCCCCCTACCCCCCCACTGGGACGTGATAACGTTGGTTACAGATGCGATTCTTAAGGGCCTCATGCTGAAAAGAATTTGCGCCAATCCCACACCGCACCCCTCTATCCTTTCTCGAAAGCTTTAAAAACTTTGGGTCTAATTGCTTCCATGGTTCCTGCATAGTCGCACGCTAGCAACGGGCTCCCATTCTGAGCGATATAATCGACATGCTTCCAGTCTGTTGGGTTCAGGGCTACTTCCAGTATCTTTACACGAATTTAGTGATTACGTAGCCAAGGGTTGGACGATCTTGTGATTCAGGAAAGTTTCACGAGGTTTTTTAGTCACAATTGCACTTTGTATTGTAACTATACTGGTTGCTGTAACCGTCTTGTATTAAAACTGATTATATTCAATAAGTAGAGCTTGTACTAAAGCTCTAGAGGTGTCGGTGTCTTTATATTTATGAATATGCATGCCAAAGGCTTGTACCAGCTCTAGCTACTTCTAAACTGGGAAACATGGGAACTACAAATCGGTGTAGTAGTTGGTGGCCCTGCGCGAGATTTGTGAAATAATCACGCATTATAGTGGCACGCAGGGCTACCTCGCTCGACAACATATCCCTTGTGTCACGTCTGCTTAAAGGTATTTACAGACAGTGAACAATAATAGCATATCAGTCCCCGTCTCCTATATCAAACGCATTGGCAATTGAATTATAGCCATGAGCTATGGGAGAATGCCATGACTAATTTAGTTACGCAACTAAGCTTCTTTTGGCACTATCACTTACGCTCCCCCCAATTTCTTTTTCTTAACTAATTTTCGCTCACCACACACTTTCCCTTATCCAAACCCAACCCCTTCATAAGCACATTCTCTTCCTGTTTGGATCCCTTGGGCTGGCTTTCCTCATCAATGAATGTGAGTGAGTATTGTTCCTCTGGATTCGGTTATGAGACGAAAGGCAAATCAGAATACAAAACCTGGAAGAAGAATGCGTCTTCCTTATACAACATAATCTTTAGTACGGCATTAGAATGGCCTACTCGTACAACACAACGGCTCTGTACTGTTGCCTGGCGTTTAAGAATGGTAATATTTGATATATGGCGATTGAGCTCTACCCGTGCTACCTTTGCAAGTTAGATCTTCACCTCCATGTTATATTTTCGTGTAAATTGCTATACCTGTGTCTGCCTTACGTCAAACTCGAGGTCCGATCAACAAAATTATCTCTAGCTGAAAGGGATATAAGGAAATTTTGATTCTAAGTAACAGCTACTCAAGCTGGAATCTAATAAGTGACATTGGATACCCTGATGGCATATTTCTTAGGCCGAGCGTGATTTAGACATGCTGCGCACGTTTGAAATGAAACGCAGTCCATTTTAGAGAAGCTTGCCACTAAAGAAACCTATCAGATTACAGGAGTTTGGTCCTTGGTCGTGAAGACTGCGCTCTACTCGCATCGTCCAATATCGATTTAGTATCGAATGCCACCACTTTTCCACCAACAACCGTGCCGTTGACTGGATTAGCCATCCCTCCATTCGTGGTGATATACAAGATATCTTCGTCGATACAGGTGCGTCCAAACTGGGCAGCTGTGTCACCCGCAATCACGGAAGAGTTGTTAGAGCCAAGAATGACCCGAACGGTTCCATCCACTCCATACTTATATAGAGCGTTCCCAAGGTCTTCGGCGACATATATATTACCGGCACGGTCAATAGCAAAGTCATCGCCGACGTAGTTGCGAACAATGACCTCAGCCTCACCAGCACTGGTGCCATTTGGATGGATGGGTATCCGAGCGAGAAGTTGTGCAGTGTTTGTATAGTAGAGATAGTCGCGGTACAGGTGGATGCCATTAATTCCGAGATAAAGTGGAGGGCCTGGTGCCATGGTATCATCTTTCATTACTCTGTGATAGGTGTTGGTCTGTAAATCAAGGCCCAAGACATTTCCTGCCCCAGAATCAGCGAGCAACAAAGTGTTGTTGCCATCGCCGAGTGTGGTCATTCCATTGAGGAAGATGGCCTCCGGGATGTCGGTAATCTTGGTGATATTAGGTGGGGTAATAACACTTCCTTCCATGCCTTGGAAAGGTCGCAGATCTATCATCCACACACTATACGATCCTTTCTTGGTGGACGCTGTGGCGACGGAATAGTTCCCAGCAATCACTGCAAAGCGATCCTGCTGAACCTCCACGATCCCCAGGAGGCCTAATACCTCAGGAGCAGACCACAACAAGGTAGCAGCCTGGGGCTTAAACGGATTGATCAAATAAAGTTCAGGTCGATCGAGAAGAGTCACAACAAGCTCTCCGTTTGACCGCACTGCAATGTTTTCTACCCAGGTTTCATTCGGAAATTGATAGACATCATAAACAACTTTAGGGATCCAAGCAGCGAAAGAAAACGTTGAAAGCCAAAAGACAGCCCGAAAAAGGCACAAAGGTGATCGAAACCGCATGATACTGCTTTGTAATATAGCGTGCAAAGAAACTGTTGAACGACCAGATGCAATTGTTTGGCTATTCAGACTGTCCAGCTCTTAGTGTGGAAAAGCTGTGGGTTTTATAGTGGTTCCCTGATAGCACCGAAAGATAACTAGTATCTGGTCGTCGACGATTTCTAATCGTCTAGAACCTCGAACAATGATGGTACCATATCTGCGGTTTTCTCGCTCCGACGTGTAAGTTCCACGCCGTATTAAGTCTATTTCCGAAAGCTTCCACAGCCTTCTGGGAACGTACGGGTTGCACCCAAATCTGAGAAATACCTTCCATACTCTTTGGCCAAAGAGCAGGCTTATACAGCCGGAACAGGCAAGTTAGAACTCAGCATATTGCGTACCATCCACCAAGAAAGATTGTACTACACCGAACGTCCTCAGTCAGGCGATGAGCTCGGCATTCCGAGACAATGGATTTCCGGTATAGTCGAGCAACAAGTGGCTTTAGGATGGTAGGTTACTTACTATACTTAAAGTCCTTCCTCGGTATAGGTAGGATAAACAAATAGATGAGTGATCAAAGAGATAAGGTTTGCGAGGAGGCGCTAGTGGAAATGCGTTAGTTCCAACCTCATCTTAGTGCATGGCCTTTTCCAATTTCTATTGGTCATAATACATGCGTCAATACTACACAGGTCAAAATGTAACCTTGTCATCACCGTCCCAAACAAACGAAGTTTCAAAGGGATTTGATATATTTGTATTCAAACTCTTCATATTTCATGCCAGCTATTGAACGTCACTGCTAAGTTAAAGAAAAATTATCCTTTACTACAGCAAGGTCTATGTTTGTGGAAATATAGAGTTTGTGGGTGGGTGGAAGATATTAACCAACGTTGTGCCAACGATGCATGATAAGTGATCAGAACATAATGCCGAGGAAGCTCGCTACTCATATGGACCCCGCACAAAATCTTCAGTTCACTTGGTCTCTCTGGACTCGCAATATATTTAGCTTAGACATTTAAAAGAGAGTTTTGAACTTTAGCAGTTGATTCTTAAATTTATAGTTTAAACCGGCCTCAAAGCTTTAGTCTGATCATTATCTGATCTACACTTGAATAGGATAATGCCAGTCCTGCAGAGCCGCACCTTAGCATACATGGAATTCGATATCTTCTCTTGAATGTACTACAATGCCAAACAAATAATGATGAGTCCGCCGCCAATTGGGCGTGTACGTGACACCGATGGCACTGAAGAGCACCAAAATTCCGGGCAGTGTCCCCTTTGTCACAGGAAGACACAGAAAAATTAGATGGATCATACAGAGCAAGCCGCCCGAAAGCTTTGGGGTAATTTTCTGGTGAAAAAAGCTTAATATTCGGGGTCACTGGCATTGACTGCGACTTTTGACCAAAATGTTAATCATTTTGGTAATTCTCTAGTGAATGAAAATAGCTTCGGCACCTCATTAATAAAAGCATATAAAGTCATAAGTAAGCTAGGAATCGTTTATATTAAATGTCAATAAAGTGCGTGGTCACGTCACTGTTGTGTTTGGCGTCTGTTGAAGTAAACAGCTACCCTTAACCTAGCTCGTCACATGACCCGAATTTATAATCCTCTCCCCGAAAAACCGCCACAGCAGTGACTTTACTCCCTCAGCTGTCCACCTATCGCTGTGAAATTTGCGGACTGAGACTCTAATATCTGACTTCCTGTACTTGTTCACATTTTATATCCACGCTCCATGACGGAACTGCTTTCTTTAATATAAGCTACAGATAATGTCTCTGAAAGACCATGTTGAGAAAGGGGTCGATGCCGGACGTGAACGTAGCCCTCGTGGACATGGATTAGAGGCTGTCGACCATGATCACATCCTCCTGAACAATGCCAATACCATGCCTACAGAGGTATACATCTTAGATGAAAACTTAAAGAAACCCGAAAGCTAACTGTTCCTTACAGCACCGTCGATATCAGATCCGCTTAGCCCAGAGGAGATATCGATCGAGGAAAGAAGAGAAAATCAGTATGCTCAGCGAACAGACCGCAGAGCTGAAGAGTGTATTGAGTCAGCTGAGGCAGTCTATCCTTGGATTGAAAAGTACTGCGACAATACTCTCTGAGGCTGGCCGGGCTGAAGAAGCTGCGGTCCTGTTGCAGTGTGCCACTGCTCAGATGTTATTAAAAATAGACGATGCCCTTAATGGATCCCACGGGACGGATACATACACTGAGTCTGGTGGTGTCCACTCCGCATCGTGGATCCGCCCTAGTGACTCTACCCGTTCGCCAAAGATAATGTCACCCCTTGGCTATAGTCTTATGTCCGACGTAGCCCAGGTCCCCGACGCCAGTGCTAACCCAACAAATGACACAATCGAAAACGCCTCAAAATTCTAGTATTTCTTTTCCTCTTACTTTCATTTATTATGAATGGAGAAATCCATTACACCGGCGTCATGATTTCTTTTCTTTTTGTTTTGATCGGACAATTATCTACGAGAAACAGCGTCTTAGCGGTAAACGCTCAGTTGCTGGTAATAATGTATCATACGTTCAACCGACACGGTCCAGTAAGGTGACTGTCGGCTATCCTCTCTTATAAGAATTCCCGGATATTTGCAACCCGATGTCGAAAGGAAACAATCTTATAATTGTAAGTCCGTCTCTATATCCCAATCGTAGGGACGCACATTATTCAAGGACTTGTTGTACAGAGGGGACAATCTTCGATACTCCTTTGAACACTTGGTAGTTACAGTCAAATGGATCTATTTGCTTCTTCGGGTATTAGCTGAAGAGTTGAGATAAGGTACGCATCATTGCTCGGTTTACATAGAAACCACCTGGCCTTCTTATTTGCCATCAATAATTTCTTGTGAATACTTCATAGAGCTCTATTTAGCTATTAAAGATGAGATGAGTGATCAGATATTAACCGAGGATTTCGTAAGCCGACATTTCCCGAATAAACCTTCCGAGGGCCCCTGAAGAAAGCGCCTGATACCGTATCCCCTTACACAGCTCTGGCTGGGGCTTCCATTGTGCCTCGCATGTCTTCCATTATTTTTATGACAGGAGGCACGGAATTTATTGGCTCTCATGTCGCCAAAATCCGCCTGGAAGCTGGATACAGTGTTCGCCTTAGTGTACGTCGTGTACGAGACGTCGAAAAACTCCGTAAAATATTCTCGCGATTCTCTGAGCAGGTCGAATATATCATCGTGCCTGATTTCACTTCAAGCATCGCCTTTGACACTGCTCTAAGCGGGGCTGAATACATATTTTGCCTGGTATCCCCGCTATCATTTCCGCCAGATCAATCAATGCCCGCGGTAGAAGGAACCCTATCCCTGCTGAAGGCTGCTGCAAAACATCCCTCAATTAAGAAGGTTGTCTTTACTGCATCCGTTGATCCTTTCGTGCCTCTCCGCCAGAATTGGGAGGGAATGGTTATAAAAGGTAGTTATACACTTTATTTTCTTCCTATGAGATCTCTTCCTCGTTTCCTTTCAGCGAGTGGGGCCTAACAATTAACCATTCCCTACTACGATCCGCATATTTTTACAGACCTTTCTAACGCGTCATACTAGAAACGAATGATATTTCATTGAACAAAACTCCAGCTACTTTAGGTCGGGTGGCACAATACCACGTTAGTAAACTTGCTTCTTTCCAAACAGTCGTCCGCTACGCTGCATGTCACAAGCCGAAGTTTTCGATCGTTACCCTTCACCCAGTTTTTGTCTTTGGTACAAGTTTGTTCCAGGAATCCGTTCAAGATCTCAGTTACGACAACCGCATGTTAATCAAGGCCCCATATTCGGAAAGTCCAGGTCTGCGCTGTTTTAGTGGTGTCCATGTCATCGACGTTGCCGAAGCACACCTCCGTTCGCTTCATTGTTCAATCACAGGCCTTTCTTCCTTTTTGTTGGCATCAAAGGCAAGGCCGTGGAGAGATGTTCACAGCTTTGTTCAATCCACCTATCCTTATGCTGGCTTTAGATTATTACCGTACCAGGAGGTGTCATGGCTGTTCGACAATACCAAGGCGGTAAAAGAGTTAGGAATCCGTTTCAAAGAAATGGAGGAACAAATATGCGATGTCATTGAACAGCAGTTGAGGTTCCGTTGCTGGTGACTGTATATATGTCAAAAGAGGATTATTGGCTATTTATCGTTGTTTCTGTATAGTGTTTACATAGATTCCAAGTTAGAGACTTTCGCTACAGTCATGTGTTTGTTATGCAGCAGTTACCAGTATGCCCCTGTAGATCTGTATTTGGGTTCCAGAGGGTTAGCAAGGGGTGAGTTTATATGTATGTGTTGAGGCTACACGATGCTATGTAGTGACTGCTCATAGTAGAATCTTCTATCCACAGTATCATAACGCGAATAATCAGGCTTACATCTTTACCATATCGGAGTCAAGCTACAGCCTTGCGAGGCACATGTCTCGCTATTGCACAAAGTAAGCATCAATACCCTCTCAGAAGTTATGCCACAATCGACTCACTTCAACTACGCATGGTAGCTGCATAACAGCCAGGTACAATGGGAGTGAATATTCCAAGCTAGAATAGCGAATGCACAAATTGATTTCGATGAATACCATGCAGCGACCATATAAAATAATCTCTCAAATCACATAGACTAATTTCTCGCCGCTAATCTTGTCCTTCCTCAGCAGCTCAAGCCCGTCTAACACCCCCTCAATGCCCTTGTTGACCCGTGGGGAATGGACTTTCACCTTTCCAGTTGCCAGCAATTTTCTGCAGATCTCAATGAAAGATTTGGTGAAGTCAAAGTCTCCGGGAACAACCGGCACCACACGGTTCTTAATGCGAAATTCCTCATTGAAGGCAGTGTAGGCAAGGGTGACAGTAGGCTTGATATCCGCCCTCGGAAATTCAACTTGAAGGAGGCAGGAATATTTGGCATGCGGACCCGTGGTCAGCGCAGCTGCACAGACTTCAGCCGACGCGGGCAATGATATGGTGTCCCAAGCGATGGCCAAGCGGTCGTTGGTGTAATCACGAATCTTCTTCCCACAGTCTGGGTCTCGGTAGTCAAAGACGGCATCGGCCCCCAGCGATCGAACCATGTCAAAGTTGTGAGGGGAGCATGTCGTGATAACGCGGTACCCAGATGCCTTGGTGAACTGGATTCCCAAGCGCCGGTAGCGGTGCTGCCACCGTATATCAGGACCAACTCTCCGTTTCGAGATGGCTCCGTTGGCAAGGACAATCCTAGGGATCGATATAGCCCTTGGCCTACCGTGATAAGGCCAACGCCTAAGGTAGCGGCATCCTCAAAGCTGAGATTCTCCGGGATTTTCATCTGTAAATCGCCTTTCACGACAATGTGCTCGGCGAAGGTGCCGTCCTCATGCTGGGAAACATTACATCCGTGGGCCATACCACAGACCCGATCGCCCTTTTTGAATTCTTTGGTCACCTTTGGGCCAACTTCTTCCACTATGCCTGCATAATCACAACCAACTAGTGGGCCCGATTCTAAGACCAAATTATCGATATGCTTCCAGTCCGTTGGATTCAGAGCCACAGCAACGGTCTTGACGAGCATATAATCATCTCGTAACTTGGGCATGGCCCGATCATGGACCAATGCGGCCACACCAGGGCTATCGACGACCACGGCACGTTGAGTGGTAGCCATATTGTGCGCAGGAAGAGCAGAATAGAAGAACCTTTGAAAGTATAGATCTCGATGACTTAGATAATTGGGTTTGCATACTAGCCTGGAATTCCTGGAAATGAGGACTTTATAGCACAACCCGAATCTAGCTATCATAGTGGAAGTTTCCAGGATGATTACCAATTGCCGCCGAGAATGATTTATTATGTCTTGATTTTGAAATACAGTTTGCCTTGTACGTCATCAAACCAACTAGGCCATTCTCTGGATATCGTTCGCTCTTCGGATGGCTAAGGATATGATATGCTAGGTAATATCTTAGTGGGGCGAAAAAAAGGTGCTGCTAATCAGCTCCTAGCTAATGATACGCAATCTAAGTTCAAAGGTCTTTACCAGTCGGGGTTTGTTGGTTAAGCAGCCGATGTTTAGACAATGCACTATCACCGTATGGATCTTTTGATCAGTAAACATCCTCGGATCAACGTCATCCTACACCTCGGGTTTCGGCAGGACAGCGTCATGCGAAGCTGTGCAATTTGACATTGTATGTGCAGGTCAAACAGACGCTCCAGTCTTAGAATCCCAGTAACACCCTGACAGCGATGCTACATTATTTGTCAGCAGGTGAAGCTCTTTTTATTGATTCTCTCTTGTGGGCAGCCAATTACTTTTGCATCCACCACACTCGACCCTTGAGGTAGGTTTGCACATAGAGGTGGGTAGCGGTGATGAGTGATCACTAAGGTTACCTCGGAATCTAGTTGCGTCCCCAATTGGTTGGTGATCACTCATATTGGCCCTCACCAGCCCCTTGGTAATATTAGCGATTGGCGGTTTTCAGTGGGGTACTCTTTCTCCGCTCCCGAGCTAGCCAAGCCTTCGTACGTTACCTTCGCTTCCTCATGGAGTACTGCGTTGCCGGATTTGATCTTTTCAACGGCTCTTGGTTGTCGATGTCGGTAGATACTTGCTCCTGTGTACGCCGTGTACAAACACTCCGTATGTGGACCGACCACCCTGGCCGATTTTCTTGAGGCCTTTGACCCAGTCTTCATCAGTCCTCGTCAGTCTCCCTGCTTGTGTGGTGATTGATGTATGCAGTTAATACATTCCCGATTTGCAGTTGCTTTGCGGCTATACCTCGAGAGGCTTTCCCAAGCAGTTTTATCCATGTTCTTAAGGCGCCTTCACCCTTTTACGGAGGTCCGCTTTCTAAGGATGCTCGGCAGAGTACGGTGGCGGTGCTCTCATCCAGTTCCTTTATGGTCTCCCTGTCCTTGATCCTTGCAGTCATAGAGGCTTCCCTATTCGGTATCGAGGGGCACCAGGGAGTGCTCTATCGAAATACGTCAGCTCAGGAGAGGATTGGAATGGCTATTTTCAGTTCGACGAGTAGAGGCAACGCGAGTATGTTGCTGACGGCATTCTTGGTGATTCAGACGTCCTCCACGGTCAGCTGTAGACTGTTCACCTTTTCTAGGATTGCCTGTCCGGACCAATAGTACGGGCTTTCTTGGGCTAAGGTATTCACGCTGTAGACAGGACATCCAGATATGAAGCTGGCAGTTTGCCATGCTTGTTTCTGTAGAGGCCTAGTAGTGCCATGACGCCGGCTATGGTTGGCGTGCTGTGCTCCCTACATTACCTTCTTATAATCTATAGTTAGGTATATACCGCGCTTTTAACAGCAAGTCGAGCCCACGGGCCACGAATAGTTGCAAGGGCTGTCCGGTCATTGACACTGAGAAAGCCTCGGTTCTCGTGGACCGAGTCATGAGATTGGGGTTATCGGCCATTTTCCAAAACCGTTAATTGACCCTATGAATGATGAATGCCCATGCCCACCAGTGAGCTTTGATAGCATTGAAGCCACTCCTTCTTGGATGTCATTTCGGGGATATTCCACGGCAGATCCTCGATTGGCCGTGTGCGAATGTCAAGAAACCATCTTTATATCCTAAGGACCTAAAATAGCTAACCACTCTATGGTTTGTGTCTCGGAAAGATTTTCTACGAAGGCATTCAGTGTCACCCTGTGATTAGTGTACCGCTCACGGCTCAGCCATGTCCCTCCTCGAGTCCGGATGACTTTGGCCAACCGATTCATCCAAGACTATTGGTGCAGTAGTACTATGATCTTCGGTGCTGGCCGCCTGATGTTGGGGCTACTTTTGAAGATGAATGTAGAATGACATACAAGACTCCGTGATCAGCCAAGTCAAATAAGCTCTCAGTAGGTATTTAGCGGCAAGGGTATCAGAGCATGGGTTAGATAAAAGGGTGATAAATTTCAATCTGCTGCAGGTAGATTCAATAAAAGGCTATGTTGAAGGGTCCAAGCTACCTCTCACTAGGGGACCTGACGCTACCTCGGAGAATTTTATTTACCATGGGGCGCAGTCCTATAATACTGCAAGGGCGGATTGAAGTTATAAAGCTAGTTTTGTGCAATGGTGCGCCAAAGAATGTTATGATCTAACCCCAGTCTCCACTGTAACAAGAACCGACACAAAAAAGTTGTGAAGGCCTTGCTCGTCTTCGGATGTGCTCCATTGTCTGCCCGATCTTGCCCATACACACTACCTATCTACCGAGCTAACATCATCTGGTGCTGTGAGGACAGAATATGAAAGACATTGATTTTTTGCGGGTGGGGAGCACGTACCCCGGAATGGGGGAAATAAGGCCACCACTGAGGCCGGCGATACGATGTAGATCTGCTTGGCAACGCGGCAGGACAGCACAGCCTGGGGCAGCATTTGTTCTAAATTTCACAAGATCTGATACCTCATAGCTTAGAACTATCTCTCAAACAATTCTGGTGCCAGTCATACTTGGACTCCATACTCGAGCCCAACATATAAATATGGCCTCTCGCCGCCCACTACCCGAACTAAAACCACATCATATCTCAATCTCCAAGCGCTAGGTCATCATATACCTAATTTTTGATTGTTCTTTACCAAACATCGGTATCACCAACATGAAGTGGACCACTATCTTGGTCGCTCTCGGTGCTGTCTCTACACAGGTACAATGCCTTTTATAACCCATAACCGTTTCGCCGTAACCTAACAGAGTAGCTATCTAGGCTCTCGAATCGCGCGACTTCGATGGCAAGGTCACTTGCGGTGGTGGCTTGCCCGCCGATTATAAAGCAATCAAGGGTGGTATCGATTATCTGAAAGGCGTTGGTGGCACACCGGTGGAAGACCCGAATAAGTGTGGCCGGGTGAGCTGCTCCTATAATTCCGCCATCTACATGTGTAACTGGGTAAGTCAAACACTAGATGTCGTACTTGACGAGCTCTGACAAGATACCTAGACCAATGAGAAACAAGCTCTCAAATCATTTGCCACGCTTGCCTCTGGTGCACAAGCAATTATTGATAAATGTACGAATGACCTAGGTGTTGTTGGGAAGGTCGAGGCTCCAAATGGATGGGGTGTGGAGGTTGCCTATGCTAGCTGTTAGATGAGACTGTAAGGGCGGTTTTCGACCCCAATTCATAGTCCGAAACTTCCTTTGAAGGACTATCAGGACTGCTAGTCCCTACTGTATGATTCAGGTCTTATGATGGAAACAAAATATTTGACTCTGCAAGATATATCTCCAGCGCACTATGTATTCCATGATAGTATTATTACTGGGAGTGTGATGATCATAAGTCATTGTGACGAGATTGACAAGTATTATAATACATGATTATGGACAACTTGATAAATTACTAGAAAGAACATGAGATAAATCTTCGAAAGTAAGGTCATTCTATGTTCCCCGCTAACTCCAGCCTCTCTCCATATCCGAAACCTTCAACTGGACCATGATCATCGTAACGGCTCAGGGTCATCGGCGTTTTGTCTTTTTGGTGCTCACAAATGGAGCAGATGGACGTGAGCGTTTCTTTTGGTTAGAACTGGAGTCACTATCCGCTACACCGAATAGAAGGCTCGCACTGTGCTCATTGATGTACTGAGTGATATCCTGAATCCTGTCACGTCCCTTCAACATTTTGTAGTGGTTGTCGCAATCAACCTTCTTCATGACAATGTTGGGGCATTGGTTCTTCCACCACGCAGCTGTGCCATCCTGGAAACGCTCAGGGAGGCCGAGGTAAAGACATCTTCCCTGGTATAAAGCAGGCCTGGCGGAGTGCTGAAGGACTCGGATGTGACGGTCAAAGTGTTCTCGGAACGGAGCAAGATCTTCAGGCTCAACGTCCGACATTCCGAGGGAGTTTCGGATGATTTCTTCGTCTGAGTTGCCAGCCGACGTGCGGTTGATAGGTTCATAGGTTCCCGGATCCAGTAGGACGACAGATGCGGTGTGACTTCCGTAACGTGTCCCCCATAGCTGTGCCATTTCGAACGCGATCAGCCCTCCGACGGAATATCCACCAAAGATGACGGGCCGACCACGGATCAAATGAGGCTTGAGATTGACCAGATATGAACCGGCCCATTCCGCCAATGTCGCGGGACAAGAGTCTGTACCAAAGAACGGATCGTCGACGAGAATAACATTGAGGCGGCGATCCAGTAGAGGTACAAGCGGCTCGAAGATAGTCGACTGCGCCAAGAATGGATGGATAAGAACGATAGTTGCCGTGCCTCCCCGGTCATAGACGTGCAGATTGCCTGTAGTGCGGCCATTCCGTGCTCTATCACGGATCCTAGCTGCTTGGACCTGAATAGTTGAGGATGGAGCGACATCCGCCATGTCTACACGCAGTCCCGCTCGGCGAAGTAGGGCCAACAAGGTGATTGAACGAATAGAGTCGCCACCCAGCTTGGAGAAGGGCATAGTTATGTCGACCCGATCTTCCTTTATTCCCAATACCCTTGCCCAGACCGATGCGATTGTGGCCTCAAGAGTCTCCGGTATGGCTGGAACAAGAACCTGCCTTCCAGCCGATACATCTGCCATGCACTGCTCATAGGCTGCATTTGCCATTTTCTGGATTGCTAGCTTGTTCATTTTACCATGTGCTGTTCGAGGCAACGGCTCCTTCGGAAGTAGGAGATGCGCAGGTACCATGTAATCCGGGAGGCTGCACGAAATGTGGTCCTTGATCAAACTCATAAGTTCGTCCCCATTAATCGAGGGCGAGTGGCTTAGTTCGACAAAGGCTATTAGAGCCTCAGAGCCCTTGTTTACTGCCTTGGCTACCACACACGCTGTCACCGCAGGATGAGTTTGGACAACTGACTCCACTTCATTAATATCAATTCGCAGACCCCGAAGCTTCACTTGACCATCTTCCCGGTCGAGATACTCAAGGTTACCATCACTGTGGAATCTGCCCAGATCGCCTGTTCGGAACATCCTTCCCTCGCGCGACGGGGCGAATGGATCAGGCGTAAACCGACATACTGTTAGGTCTGGCTGGCCGAGGTATCCGCGCGCAACCTGTGGTCCTCCAATGCATATTTCTCCAATGGCACCGATGGGTACCGGCTCCTCGGTCCCGGGTCGTAGGATGTATATACGGCAACCCCCAGTGGGAGATCCAATTGGAAGGTATGCCCTGGCACGCCCAGTCTCGGCACTTGGTCCTTGTAGCTGACATGCTGTTGCTTCAATAGTTGTTTCACTTGGACCATAGCCGTTCCACACGGTGAGCTCCACAGGTGTCCTACGGAGGAAGCTGGCACGAAATGGCTCACCCCCAAAAACTAGGTTCCGGAGATGTGGCAATTGCCTACTATCCTCACGAAGATCGTCGGGCAATAGACCACCGAGTGTAGGGGTCAATGCCAGGTGCGTAATGTTCATATTATCAAGCCAGGTATTGAGCTGCGACAGCATATTGCTACGTCTCACCAGGGAAAAGCGACCACCCTTGCATAATGTCGCGAACAGATCACCCATCGAAGCATCGAATGTATAGGCCAACAATGAAAGCCGGTTGGAAGTCCATGAACAGTCAACACTTCCTTTCTCGGACATTGTAAACGCTGTTAGATTTCGATGCTCAACCATGACTCCCTTTGGCACGCCCGTAGATCCTGAGGTGAACAGGATATAGGCTAGACTGTTCGGAGAGGTAGGCCGGCTCCCTCCGGATACTGGTCCGCCTGACTGCCTGAGATCGCCTATTGTGTAGGCGACAGCTCCTGTTGCGTTGGTCAAGCTATTGATCTTTTCACTGCCGTTGATGCCATCCCATATCAACATTGGTGGTTGTGTAAGATCACAGATTTCCTGAAGCCGCTTGATTGGATAGTTCATATCTAACGGAATGAAAGCTGCTCCGGCCTTCAAAATAGCTAAAATTACAACCACCATATCCAAAGACTTGTCAAAAGCGATTGGAATCAATGGCTGATTGTCAACGTCAGTCATCCTGTTCTCAAGTATGCGTTCGATACTACCAGCAAGAATAGTCGCAGAATCCAACAGCTGTCGATATGTGAGGAACTGATCCTGCTCAAACTGAAGGGCTATCTTCTCCGGGGCCTTCTCTGTCTGTTGACTGATAATATCGATTACAGTTCGATTGAGGTCGTTTGCCATGACATTCTGTTTACTTGCTAGCTGCTGCAATTTCGCTCTTTCATTGGCACTGATCATAAGTCTGGCGTCAATTTGTTTGTGTACGGCCTTTCGTGCAATTGACTGATCGGCGATGAGACTGAGCGCATCAATAACATGTTGCATTACCCAGTCGATATCTCCTGGCGGAAGTATAACGGGATCAAATACACATCTGATTGAAAGGTGGCCAGTTGTGGAATGGCAAGACACTTCAAATACCAAAGGGAAGTCCACACGGCCTTGTTCAGATTGGGATATGGTGAAGTCATTTGTCTCTGGGCCCGCTTCCTGGTAAACGAATAGGACTTGGAACGGTAGTAGATCGGGATTTTCACTTGATAGCCTAATAGACTCGAGACCAATTTGCTGATACTGCATAGTATCCAAGTATGTGTCTCGACAAAGCTTGAGCAGAGCATGTAGTGATATTCTTCGAGACTGCGTACTGCCATGACTTTGAAACGTGTCCTGCTTTGCCATGTTAATCCTGACGGGGTGCGTAGCAATACAAGGACCAGCCACAAAGCCGGTGTGATATCTACCACTTGACACCTCACCCAGGATCACATCATCCGAATTGCTATGCTCTGCTATGGCTAAAGCCAAGGCTGCCCTTGCCATTGCAGCTGGTGTTATCTGGAATCTCTTCGCAATTTTGCGAGCGTCGCCTGCCCACTCACCAATCTTGATCTCGGGGGTTCGATCTACTGCCATAGGACCCTTGAGACCATTGGCTACAGGCCATGTAGCACTCATACCCCCTTTGAGGTAGTCCCTCCAGAAGGCGGAAGCTTTATAAGGGTCGCCGTCCTGTAGCGTGCGTACGAACGTTGAGAAAGAGACCTGATCCTTGTGGGAACTCTTGAACAATGTGCTACCCTCTTTGTAAATCCGAACCAGGCCTTGGATAATTGAAGAGAGGTATTGCCCGTCGTACAAAGCGTGATGGATTTTGAGCTTGAGACTCCATCGACTTGAGCCTCTCTCTCCATCCAATTCCAATGACAGTGGTATCTTGCCCATATCTATGTGCGGTTGAATGTCCCCGTTGCGTCCCTTTCCGCCCTGAATTGTGGCAACTCTTTGAACCTCAACAGAGCTATCACGAAAGATTGCCTGCAAGAAAGAACGGCCACAGACACCTTGCTGTCTTGACGCATCGATACTAGGTAGGAATGCTGTGCGGAGCATCTCCTCCCTTTTAACAGTGATTCTCCAAGCAGCAGACAATGCCTCCAGGTCGAGGGCAGAATTTATTGTCACTTGCACAACCGCCTGATATGCTGAGCGGCCCTCAAGAACAATATCGCTTGTAAGGACACCCTCCTGGAAAGGGGTGCATGGCATTACCATCTCTATGTCTCCATCGCGTAGCCCAGCTTCCCTGACTGCTTCTCGCCAACCCATAACTTCAATCGGGGCAAGGTTTGTGAGTCCGTGCGGTGCTCCGACAGTGGGGTTATTCATTTCACCGTCCCTCTGCGACGAAATTCTCCTGGCGAGCTGTGCGGGAGTTGGATAATCAAATAAATCTCGGACATTCAGAACTGATCCGAGTCGACCAATAATTTTGGATACCGCTCTCGTCGCCATCAGAGAGTGTCCGCCGAGATTGAAGAAATTATCCATAACGCCAACGTCTGTCCCAAGGATATTGGCGAATTCCTCGCAAAGAGTCTGTTCCAGGTCGTCTCTGGGTGCCACATACTCTCTTTCTATCTCATCTACTGATGGAGAAATAGTAACTGGCATTTGTGCCAGTCGCTTTCTATCCACCTTGCCACTATGGTTTATAGGTAGCTGATCGAGGACCTTAATGATAGAGGGTACCATGTATGAAGGAAGTCGTTGCTGCAGCCCTTCTCTCAAGGTCTGTTCAATGGGCTTCCGTAGTCCAGGCAGCATTGGATTGTTTGTGAATGTGTCGGCGTGGCGGC